CGGGGGGGTCTGGTCCTGGAGGGGGGGGGATGGGGGGGGGGGTGGTTGGTGTATGGAAGGAATGGGCGGGTCCGGTGTAGGCCGGCAGTGTGGGAGTGGGGAGATGGACACATCATTGTGCGGGAAAACCTACACCGGAAGTTTACATAATTCTCCCGAAGCTAATATTTTTTCCAAGCTAACCTGATTTTTACGTTTTTCGTGATTAAAATAACTCACCGTCAAGATGGTTTGCGAGAAATGTACGTATCACAGGCAACAATTTATAATTCTGGTGTGTTGTTTCGAAGCTGATACTGGGGACACTGGTTAAAGAAGCTACGCAGTTGTGATAATGCTACCGAGCTAACTTGTATTTCTCCTTGTAGCTTGAAAACTTACACAAACAATGATTGTACTCTGACACTTAGCTACACATGTGAATATATTGGTTTAGGTGAGAAGAAGCTGGGAAAAGTCATTACTCCGGATACGTGGAAGGATGGAGCCCGGAACACAACAGGTGACACAAAAACAGAGTTTTGTTGTAAACATGAACATGTAAACATTTTGTTGTTAACATGAAATTAGTAGGTTGGCATATTAGCTGTTTATTATACTTATTTTGAAAACACAGACTTCCCTTTGACCTTTCAAGCTAACATATCAAAGTCACGAGATTTTGATATTTATATATTTTATATTTAGATTGGTTTAATTTCAACATTTTCCTTTTGTTCTTCTCTTTACATAATGTGAGGATTTTTTCCAACATTGAGAAGTTGATTGTGTATTATCAAGTCATTCATGTTCTCTTTGTTTTTGATAGAGGGCGGTGGTCGCAAACTGAATGAAAATAAACTCCTGACTTCAAAGAAAGCCAGGTGAGTTACATCTGGTCATTCTAAAGTGTCTATAGTGCCGTTCTATTGTTGTCAAATCACACAGATATTTTGATGTTTATGTGTTTAGATTCGACCCCTATAGCAAGGGGGGCTTTACCAACTGTAGGATCTGCAAGAGCTCCGTTCATCAGTCTGGGTCCCACTACTGCCAGGGGTGCGCCTACAAGAAAGGTAAGAATGACTAAAAGTAATGACGTCATTCTATATTCAAGTGATGCAATTACTAACTAATCAAAAACAGACATTCTTATGGCTTCATCATTTTCACCTCTATTTTATAAAAACAGGCTGAACAAACAGGTGGATGTAAAATTAAGGTGTATATAATTTCTTCTGTAACCCATGAAATAAAGCTGGCATGCTTATGTTTTTAATTTTATCTGCTATTCATTTATTAGATGGACATTGCATGCAGAAAGTAAATGGGGTATGGTATTATAATTAATGACAAAATAATTATAACAGTATAACAACAGTCTGCCAGATCTGCAGAGGGATATCCTTAATTGCTCATATTGTGCATAATTAAAGTAATCTATTGTTTGTTGTTTGACTTCAAGACTTGGGTTTAAAAGTTGAAGATTTTAGCATCTTTCAATTCCTCCGAGGGTGAACATATTACTTAAGAGAATTGGAAGAATATAGCAGACTTTTATGAGGTTCCTGAACTGATTCTAAATATGACATCAGCTGAAGGAAGACGTTTCAATGCTGCTTTAATTCATAAAGTTTTGTTTCAATGCAATGTCTTTTTTTACAGCCCTTGTAGGAGCCATTGGTCCATAGGGGGCGGGATGACCATGCTTTAATTTATCCAATTTAGATTATTCTACATGTTTGTTTTCTCTATGTATTTAATCTATCCTAACCTGGAACCTTTTTTTAGTGTATTTCATTCAGCCAAGCCTTTTTAAAGTCAATTTAATGTAGACGTATTTTGGCTGAAAATGTACCATCGGGTCATGCCACCAGAAATATCTCCCGCATTAGCTCATGCTCCGTTGAATGCCGTTGTTTTCATAAACGCTGATCCTCTTTGCTTCTTTTCAGGAATTTGTGCAATGTGCGGCAAGAAGGTTCTGGACACAAAGAACTACAAGCAGACGTCAGTGTGAGGGAGAGCGACGGCTGTGATAGGTCTCTGCCTCTCCACTACTTCACCTGCTCCTGTGTCGTCAGCCTCCTACAGCTGCAGCTCTGTCAACGATCCACATCTACAGAGGAAGATCTCGACTCGTATACTTGCTTAAAAACCACATCTGAACATTCATGCACATTGACATTGTTAGATATTGTTCCTATGGACTTACCTTAAACAGCTTGCTCGCAGAGAAACACCAATACTGAATAACAATGAAAATCAAGGAAAATGGATTGTGTATGGTTTCTATGCTGATTTCTTGATTTCTTTTAGTATAAGTTATAATACGTATTTACTGGCTGATATAAACCCAGACTTTCAAATACCGGTAGTTCTAGCTTCTACTCTGTTGAATCTATTTTGTAATTTTCAGTCTTTTCTCTGATATTGGTTCATATCAGATATAGCGTTCATGAAAAGGAATCACTATGAGATCACATTTCCACCTTGCTGTAAGAGGAAGTCACTTTTAAAGCTCGGGTATGTAACTTTTTTGTATAGATGGTACATGTGGTTTGTCCCAGCAGAAAGTATCTTGTAAAGGTAAAACAAAATGTTGTGTTCAAATCATAAAAACATCAATCAATCAATCAACGTTTATTTATAGAGCGCCTTTCCTACACAAGGCAACGCAAAGCGCCTCACAACCCATATAACATCATGCATAAATCATCAAACATTAGAATTTAAGTAAACATAAAAAGACAGATTAAGAGCACAAGATATATAAAATCACACAAGTAGTTAAAAACCGTAAAAAATTAAAATCACACAAGGGATTACAATCATAAATAATCATAAATAATCATAGCGCATTAAAAAGATTAAAGATAAAAACAAATGTAAAATCATTCACTTGTATGCACAGCTAAAAAGAACTGTTTCAGTTCAGTTTTAAAAACTGCTAGAGTAGACGCCTGTCTCACACTCTCGGGAAGACGGTTCCAGACTCTAGCTGCATGAATCTGAAACGCAGCCTCCCCATGTCTAGTTCCGACTCTTGGCACTAACAGAAGTCCAGTCCCTGTGCTCCTCAGAGCCCGAGTTGGTTCATATGGCACCAACATGTCGCGGATGTACCCTGGTGCGAGGCCATGGAGAGACTTGTACACAAGTAAAGCTACTTTAAAATCTATTCTCTGAGCCACAGGAAGCCAGTGCAGAGACCTGAGGACCGGACTAATGTGGTCGTACTTCCTGGTTCTAGTCAGGACTCGAGCTGCAGCATTTTGGATGTACTGCAGCTGTTTTACCGCTTGTTTAGAGAGACCTGTGAACAAGCCATTGCAGTAGTCCAATCGACTGGAGACAAATGCGTGGATAAGAATCTCCAAGTCTGCTTTAGACACAATGTTTTTAATTTTAGCAATGTTTCTTAGGTGGAAGTAAGCTGATGATGTCACAGATGATATGTGGCTATTGAAATTCAAGTCTGAGTCCATTATTACTCCTAGATTTCTGACCTGAGTTGAGGGTTTCAGGGAGAGAGACTGGAGGTGGCAGATAACGCTCTCTCTTTGTTTCTGAGGTCCGAAAACAATAATTTCAGTTTTTTCTGTGTTTAGCTGGAGAAAGTTATTTTGCATCCAATCACTGATCTGTTGGATACAGTGAAGGAGCGAGTCCACTGGTCCATGTTCTCCTGCTGTCAGGGACACATAGACCTGAGTATCGTCAGCGTAATTGTGATAGGACACGTTATTACTGTGTATTAACCTACCCAGAGGCAGCATGTAAATATTAAACAGGAGAGGCCCCAGGATTGAGCCCTGTGGCACTCCGCAGGTCAGGGCCAGATGGTCTGAGACACAGTTTCCGATCTCCACAAAATACTTTCTGTCCTGTAGGTAGGATATAAACCAGCTTAGGGCTGTTCCAGAAACACCAACCCAGTCCTCAAGTCTCTGAATGAGGATACCATGATCGACAGTGTCGAAAGCAGCACTCAAATCTAACAGGATAAGAACTGAGACTTTTCCTGCGTCAGTGTTAAGTCTGATGTCATTTGTTACCTTCACTAGAGCGGTCTCTGTGCTGTGGTGGGGTCTAAAACCAGACTGGAACATATCAAAAGAGTGATTGATTATTAAAAATTCTGTAAGTTGGTGATAGACAACTTTTTCTAGAATTTTACCCATGAAAGGCAGATTTGAAATGGGCCGATAACTTTTAAGTGCCAAGGCATCCAGACTCCTCTTTTTTAGGAGGGGTCTGATGACTGCCGTTTTCAGGGCCATTGGGAATGTTCCAGATTCAAGAGACATATTTACTATATGCGTGAGTGAAGGTAAAAGACTGCTCAGAACAGATTTAAGAAATCTAGGAGGTAATACATCCAGGCTACATGTAGAAGAACTCAGACTTGTAATTATCATTTGGACAGTTTCATTTTGTACTGGTGTAAAGTGTGTCAGCCCAAAAAGCTTCACTGGCTGTTGGATTGTAATTTCTACTGTGGAGGTGATGGCATTTTTGATGCCTTGGACTTTGTCATTAAAAAACTCTGCAAACTCATTACATTTGGTTTTGGAGGTAAGCTCTGATGGCATCTTAACAGGGGGATTTGTCAATTTATTTACCGTTGAGAACAGAACGCGTAGATTGCCACTACAACCTTCGATTGTTTCGGAAAAATAAGTTTCCCTCGTTCTACGTAGCACACTGTTGAACTTGCACAATGCATCTTTGAAGATCTCATGGTCAACTTGGAGATTTGACTTTCGCCACTTCCGCTCGGCTCTCCGGCACTCTCTCTTCTGTGCCCTGACAGAGTCTGCTTTTGTCCATGGCGCCTTTTGCTTATTTGTAACAATTTTGACCTTTACAGGAGCAATCGTGTCCAGAACATCCAAAACACTAGAGGTGACAGAGTTAAGTAATTCATCCACAGTAGAACACAACGTGTTATCAAAGTTTATCATCCCCATGAAAAGTTCACCTGTATTTTTGTTTATGTGTCTTCTTCTTCTAACAATTGAGGATTCAGCTCGTGCTTTACTATTGAGACACATATCAAAAAATACACAGAAATGATCTGACAGAGCAACATTGGCCACATTTACATTTGAGATATTAACCCCTTTAGTAATTAGCAGATCGAGAGTGTGTCCTCTGCTATGGGTGGGGCCACTCACATGCTGAGTGAGACCAAAGGTTTCCAGCACAGAGCTCAGCTCTTTCGCGTATCTATCATTAACGTTATCTACATGTATATTAAAATCACCTATGACGACTAAACTATCAAAGTCTGTGCACACAACTGAAAGCAACTCGGTGAAATGATCAGTGAAACTATGACATGACTGTGGCGGCTTGTACACAACAATAATAAGAATAGAAGATTGTTTTTGTTCTATTTTAAAAGAGACATACTCAAATGAGGAAAATTTCCCAAGAGGTACTCTATGGGAGACAATACAATCTTTAAAAACTGCTGCTGTGCCTCCTCCTCTTTTATTTTCTCGAATTTCTGATTCAAATTTGAAATTTGGTGGTGTTGTTTCTATTAAAACTGCATTTTCTGTATTATGGTCAAGCCAAGTTTCAGTCATAAACATAAAGTCAAGATCATAAGAACAGATAAAATTATTAATTAAAAAGGATTTATTGCATAGTGATCTGACATTAAGCAGAGCAAGGTTAAAAATAATGTCAGTGTCAGTGGGTTTAGTTGATTGACTACAAAGAATTGGAATTAGATTTCCTGAGTTGGACCGTCTAACTGCTGTCCTTCTGTTATATTTGTGTTTATTCAAATTAAAACACATTTCTGAGCCGGTGCGAGGAACACACACTGTCTCTATTGGTTTAAAAAGTGAACTCTGTTTTACTTTGTTAAGTTCCAGATGCATAACTGAGTCAGCACAGTTCAGTGGCAGGACTGTCGTTACACTGCCAGACGGACAGGGGTCAGTGTTTGCACCACAGTACTCACCCGGTGCTTTGGCCTTCCAGAACAGGCCAAAGTTGTTCACAAAAATAAAGTTAAAAGTGCTGCATGCAGACTGGAGCCACATATTCAGCGCCACAACGCGACTGTACAAGCAGTCTCCCCGGTTTACAGTCGGGACTGGACCAGAGATAAAAACACACAACCCAGAGGACTGGAGAAGACGGAATAGATCCATAAAATGCTTCTTTGTGACCTCGGACTGCTGCAGCTTCATGTCGTTGATCCCCACATGCACGATTACCTTTGAAATGGTATCAGGCAGGGACTGAAGCAGAGGAGGGAGACGTATGAGCAGGTCTGGTACAGTGGCTCCGGGAAAACACTGAGTGACCGCGTTAAAAAAGCGGACGTGCCTCACGATGGAATCTCCAACAATCAAAGTAGTCGGGGCGAAGAGTGGACGTAGCCGCGGAGAGGGCGCTCGGTGTCCATGGCCAGAACCAGCGGGCTCATCCAGGGATGAGTCCGAACCAGGGCGCTGCTGAACACATGGAGGGGAGCGGGGGTGTTGATTCTCAGCTCCGGGCAACCCACGCTGTGTGCACGGGGACGCTGGAGCGGCGTGAGGAGCAGGCTCGGGTCGCTGCTGCTGACCCGGTGAAGGTAAGTGGTGGTGATGCACTGGGGTCAGAGAAGGGGAATGACCACTCTTTCGTCTGAGGACAGCTTCCTTTAGGAGCGTTTTTCTCGCAGTGGACCTGGATCCACGAACGGCAGAGTACGCTGCAGAGTCCAGGGGTTCTGCTGAGGGGGCTGGGATGTCAGTGGAGAGTGCTGCATAGCGGTTTGACAGGCTTAGGACATGGGCCACGGCGCTGGATGGCTCCTCGCAGTTCGCGGGTTCCTCATTCGGAACCGGGCGCTTAGGTGTAGAACAGGAGGGTCCAGAGCTGACAGATCTCTCCCACACGACAGTGTCACAGTATGCAGCGCTCAGTGACATAAGCCGTGAGTGCTGCCCGCCAGCGACATCAAAAAGTTTGGACACGAGTGACTGTTTATCCTGCAGCTCTGCAGTGAGGCGAAGGACTTCTTTACGGAGGTCTGCAATAGTGGCACGGTCCCTCTCACGAAGCTCCAATGTGAGGCGACTAATGTCGTTCGTGGTCATTGCAGTGTCAGGCCGGGGCCACACCGCCTGCGTGCGAAGCGCTGCGTAGCTGGCAACCGTTGATTTTTTACTTAGCTCTAATTGAAGCGGATTGGAAGTGGCCACACTGTCCGCGCATACCACGCGCGAGGCACAGCGCGCTAGTGGCGCCACGCGTTGAGAAGATAGAATCAATCCTATTTTTGGGGGCGTGCGTCAAGCGCTCGTCTAGTGTCCCGAAGGAAAGACTTCTAAAATTGATGAAATATTATAATTCTGACATATACATGGGCATATAACTTTGTTCGTAGTCTAAACTAAACAGCTAGCAGGAGAATGACATTTTAGACAATATCAATAAAACTTCATTGATATAAATATTTGTATTAA